CGTACTAGTGGTTTGGTTTGGTCATTTTGATGGAATTACAAGGCTGTGAAATTAAAGACTAGTTTCATATATTTTCATCAGATAGAGCTAGCATAGCAATCAATGATATCTCAACTGTGGAATTGCCCAACTGGCAAAGCCAAACAAAAAGCTCGTATCTTTTGTAAAGCAATCTACCTATTGCTTTTATTAAAATGACGAGCTAAATAAGAAATTGATGCCATCCATATGTTTGGCTTTGTTTGTTTGATGTGACTGAATCATAACTCTTGTCTCCTAATCAATCAAGTTCATGGAATCAATCTTCTTTCAAGTATGAAGTTGTAACATTTTTGAATATTTTACTTTTTAATAAACTAATGCGATGTTATTAAAGGAGTCTAACTTAGTTTATTCAACAAAGTATGTGCGTTATTGTAAAAAAAAAAAATTGTACTCAAAATAAATAAATAAATATATATATATATATATATATATATATATATATATATCTGTTATACTCAAAATATTTAAAATAAAAAAAATCTGATTTTATTTTATTTTCTATATAATTTTTGGATTTTACATAGAGATTTCTGCTAAAATCATATTCCTTTTCGTTAACTTATCACCAAGCTTTTGTTTTGGAAAAGGGAGAGAGGGTAGGGGTCTCTAATGTCTTAGGTCATTAAATCAGCATATTTAATTTTTATTTTTGTCAAAGATCATTTGTATTGGATGAGTTTGAATGAGTAAAAGACGTACGAGAGGCAACAAATATAATTATCTATTTATAGTGTTTAAATTGAGTCAAATTAATTTATTTGATAAAATTCAATCTATTTTTATTAAGTAGATTGATTTTTTTAAAAATATGAATTAATTTTTTTAAAATTGAACGAGTTTGATACAATATAATTATATGGATTATTTTTAAAAGATCAAACTGATTTATTCATTAAAAATGAATTGGATAATCGAATTAATTTTATAAAATAAATCAATTTAATTTTAAAAAAAAAAAATCAAAATTTTTAATATGAATTGAATTGATGTGTATTTTTTTGCAGATCTCAATCTATGATGATAGCTAGAGAGCCACGTTTGGTTTTGCAAATTAATGTTTTCCAGCTATACAATATTGAATCCTTTAATAAGGCTTTAACAAGGGACACTATAGTCCATATGCATATATACTAAAGTCACAAACCTGTTATTTTCATCATAATCTAACCCATATGGTTCCAGCAAAAAACAAAAGCTCGTTGAAATGCAGCATAATGGACCAAAAACATGAATAGAATAGACTTACGCTTTTTTCATATCTTCTTTTGTCATATATATACCACCCTTCAAAAATAAGAGTGACTAGCTACTTTTGTGTGAAATATTCTGGAACATTAACTTTTGGCTTAATTCCCAGACACAATATGCAGATTCATCTAATTAAGCATATATGGTGGATCGATGCATGTTTTCCCATGCATTTTTGGTCCCCATAGCTAGTGCCTTCAAGAATTTCCTCACTTTCTTCATCCATAGCTAGCTACAGAGATTGTCGACCTTATTGTTTTTTTAATAATCTATCGAGTAATGTCTATATATTTAGTCACTCGACAAATAATATATACCACGTATATTGATTTATTTATGCTTTTATGAGATTTTTTTCCTTCTATTTCTTTCTTGGTTAAAGAACTTAAAAGTTAAAAATAAATAAATAAGAAATTTACATTGCTTCACAATCAATTTAATTTATTTGTACATGTTCTCACGTTTAGAAATTAATTCAACTTTATAAAATTGAATTAAAAAGTAAAAAGTATTTTTTATTTATATACATTATTTAGATCATGATATAATTTTTTTAACACATTTTACTCATGTCAAATATTAGATAATATCTATAGCTTAAGATTTATAAGACTGAACATTTGAAATTTAGATTTTCTCCATCTTTTAATAACCATTTTGTTCATTACTAATGTTTTGAATGAATAAATGATATTGATAATTTTTATGATGAACATTATTTAACTACATATGTACATTCTAAACAATAGAATTGTATAGAAAATAAAATCGAAAAGATCTTAAATGGAATATGTACAAAACATGTGTTTTTTTTAGTTTAGCACTGTTAAATTTGATGTGGATATAAAATGTAGGTAACCATTTTATGATAGGCTCATAAAACTTTAAAGTTTTTACATTTAATTTAACTTTTCTAGTTAAAACAACTTTAATATCAGCTAAGTATTAGTCAAACTATATTCGTGGGAAATATTGAGCCTAGCGGCTGCAGCCCTAGCCCTGTTTGGTCAAACGGTGTCCCTTGGCATTGGCTGGTGAGAAGATGTGGTGGGAGGAGAGTAGAGTTAATGATCCCAATTTCCTTGTAACCATGTCAACAAGGAAACACCAACAAAAAATTTTAAATTACTAAAGTCAAAAACAGTTAAGGTTCATTTAAATTGCGTATAGTACTTTATATAATAAAAAGAATCGTGTGATAAGATAAATGATAAAATAAAAATAAAAAATGTTATGAAAATTTTGAGTAAAAACTATACCCACTATATATGGGTGACTTTGTTTATATTTTCTTAAAAAAGTGTTTTTTTAAAAAAATAATTTAGATAAACACATTCAAAAAAGTAAAAATATATATTATTAAAAAATATTTTTCTAGGAGGAGAAAAAAGTTTAAACAAACTCACCTTGTATATTCTGTGCAAGAAAAAACGCATTGGAATACTCCACAAGCCATCAATTAAATTCAATTAATTTTAAAACAAGCATTAAAAGATCTTTTGATGATTCCAAATTGTAGAAGACTAATAATTGGTGGGAAATAAATACATATAATAGCAATTTCTTCTTACTTCCCCCTATTTTAATTTGTAAAAACAAGTTTTTAGGTTTTCAATGAGGTGCAAGGTTTAAAAGTCAACTTCAGCCTCAATTTTAGACAATTATAGAGAAGGATTTGAAGTTACAAATTTTTTTATTGATTTTAACAAATCACTATATCTATGATCTTAATTAATCATTATATGACTTAAATTTAAATTTCTTTCTACAAAATAAATTTAATATAATATTTGATTATATATGATATTGAAACTAGTTAAGAATCATATAACCCAAAAGAACAATATATAATATAATTTTTCTCGAGAGGGAGGTCTTTCCTCTATTTCCATTAACGAAATTCATAGTGATGACTATCCTACATAAGTGGCTTTCATAGTATTTTTTTGTGTCAATTTTCTAAAAACATTTATAAATTTATAAGTAAATCAATTTAGGTATCAATTAAAAAAATCATTTATATTATTATTGGTGCATTTCTTTACATCAATATCTAATAATATTTAATTAGTTTACCATATTATCCAATTCACTAATAAAAAAAATTTATACAAGTAAATCAAAACTTA